GAAGAGAGATAAAATCAAGTAATTTTTGAAACTAACATTTCAGGACAAACAGTTGGGTCCAAAATCGAAACTTTGATTTTTTTTGGTAGGTGTGCGCTTCAAGGTGAAATTCGGTAGGAAAGAAATGGGTTATTGGATAGTGGATGTTCAAATATAGCTTGTGACACTTCACCATGTTAACGTGATAACTACTGATATGATAAACTGTAACCTTGACATGTTAGTAACTGATTTGAGACCACTTCAGTATTTAAAAAAAAAAAAAGTTTGTATTGGATTTATTTTCTAGTGTGACCCAATAGTCTACATATTTTTACATGTTTTAATTTATTTGGACTCCACAATTAGATAAAACCAATATTATATGTAAAGTTCAGTAATTAGAATTTTAATATAATTACTCTTTTAAGATAAGAAGAAAACCTTGATGGATTAGGAATTCTTCTGATAGAGTTTATCTGACTCTCTTCTCTCCTCTATATAAGGATGGGTGACTCCCCTTTCATATGATAAGTAGTATTCCATCACTCTAAGTTTTATAGTCATCCTAATTAAGAGAGATAGAGAGAAGAAGGTGAGCCAAGAATTCAAGGTTCAACTATTAAGGGTATTTTCTCAACTTCTCTAATTCAATGGCTGACAAAGGTATGTTCGTTTTATTCTTGAGTTGTATTGAATTCAAGATCCTGTTAAGTTTAATTCCGCATTATTATTATGGTTACATATATTATTAAATCTTACATGTGGTATCAGAGCTCTAGTTTGCGAATCAATACACCTTGGAATAATAATATATTTATGAATATTGTTATTATATTATAATTATAATTATTCATAAAAACATACTTTTGTTTATAAGGTTTGAACTCTGTCGGCATGTGATGTGCACTCCACTAAGTATGCACATCATGGACTCCCTCACTCATAAAACAACATGATCTGTTAGGTCCTAACCTAAATAAGAGCACAGCCCACTCACTTTGTTTTGTGATATGTTAGGTACAGGCTTTTATGTAATTCTATATACTGTTCATATGCATGTTTTGATTTATTATCAATTTTAGTGATAATAATTTTTATAATCATCATAATATGATATTAAATTGCGTGTATTGCTTGCCGTTATGATAAAGTACATAGATTAAAAGCAATTTTATAATTTGTTGAATCATTCGATCTATCAAAGAATTATGATTTTACCTCATCTGATTATATGCACTTATTATCTATTATTGTTGATATTTATATATTTTCATGATTTAAATTTGATATCATGATATAATTTTATGACATTGAATATTAAATATTGGAGTGGTTAATTCATATTAGGTGTAATTCTTATTGACCATTATATGAGATATTCATGATTCTTATATTACATAATTTGATATATAAATATTCATGTTCGTCCAGAGTTATTATTATTATTATATTGGTAATTACAACTACATAAAAGAAATTCTAGAAATCATTAAATAGTGATTGAATTAATGATAATTAAATAACTCAAATTAATGAATAGAGAATATTGTTGGTTAGTTTCGTATTCATAGGGTCTACTAATTTAGTAGCTACCAAAGTGACCTAGATTTGTAAAACTTATGAATATAGAAACTACATAAAAGAATTGTTAAAAGGGTAACATTAAGGTCGATAATATTCTCAATTGTAGTTATAATTAGGAGATTGAGACTAGCCCAAAGGAGAGTCACTTTCAAATAATTATGAACTGGGTAGGATAATGTAAGTTATGTAATTTGACAGATTAGAATTGAATACCCAAAGGTAACATGACTAGCTGAAAAATTGCATAAATTACTTTAGACCTACATAAGTGATTCTTGACGAGTGGACAATAGATATACCTAAGTTTTGCCCAAAGGAAAGACTTATGTGATATCAATAGTTCATCACAATTCTCAAAGCTTTAATATGTATATTGTTTATGCCTTTTTCCGTGTTACTTACGAGATCTTGTGTTAATACTTCTTAAGATCTGTCAAAAAGATAGCTTGCTATCTAAGGTGGTTGGACTTAGAAGGGAGGCTTTGTTGACTCCTCCGACCTTCCTAGGATCTTACTCGGTTATTGACCAAAGGAATCTTTAGTGACGTTACCCTAATGCTTAAAGTAAAATTTGGTTAAAGGCTGTTGAAGATCGACAAGCCACTTGTTGGCACTATTATGGCTGAATTGACAACAATGAAATATAATGGCCACCGAGGAGTTCAGGATCACATCCTCAATATGGTAACAAAACTGCAAAACTTAAAACTTTAGGGATGCAAGTTGATGAAACTTTCATCTGCAGTTTATTCTCAACTCACTTACATCACAGTTCGGCGCATTCAAAATCCACTATAACACCAATAAAGATAAGTGGAGTTTGAATGAGCTGACCAATATGTGTGTTCAGGAGGAAGTGAGGTTGACGGAGGAAGGACGTCAAACTGCATTGCCTGTAACTCATGGAGCTATAAAGAAAAAGAAGGGTAAGTTTGTAAAATCAAAGAAAAATCCACCAAAGAAAAAGAATGAACCTGGGGAAGAAAATCAGGCTCAGAATGGTTTCACTGTCAAATGCTACTTTTGTGGCAAGAAGGGACATGTGAAGAAAGACTACAGCAAGCGAAAGGCTTGGTTCGAAAAGAAAGGTAATAAATTTTCTTTTGTTTGTTATGAATCAAATCTTACTGAAGTACCTTCTACTACTTCGTGGATTGACTCTGGGGCCACGACCCACATTACAAATGACATGCAGGGATACCTCTCAACTAGGAAACTGAAGGAAAGTGAAAGATTTGTCTATATGGGGAACCGTCTCAAAGCTGAAGTCGTAGTTGTAGGAACTTACCGACTGATCTTAGAGACAGGTCATCAGATGGATCTAGAAGACACTTTTTATATTCCTTCAATTTCTAGGAATTTAGTTTCGTTATTCAAATTAGATCGTGTTGGATATTCAGTTTTATTTAGTTGTGGAAAACTCAATTTAACGTTTAAATCAATAATGATTGGTTATGATAATTTATGTGATGGTTTATATAAAATTACCTTAAATCATGAGTTTGCACAATCATAAGTAACTCTGCATTCGAATATTGGTTCAAAACGTGGTTTAATTAATGAAAAATCCTCAATCTTGTGGCATAGACGATTGGGGCATATCTCTAGAAATATAATTGAAAAATTGGTAAAGAATGAGATTTTGAAAAACCTAGACTTCACTGACTTTGAGATATGTGTGGATTGCATTAAAGGAAAGCAAACCAAACACACCAAGAAAGGTGCCACAAGAAGTAATGAGCTTCTTGAGATAATTCATACAGATATTTGCGGGCCACTCAACATCCCATGTCTTAGTGATAAAAATAAAATAAAAATAAATAAATAAATAATATTTTATCACATTTAAAGATGACTTCTCACGTTATGGATATGTGTATCTAATCATGAAAAGTCTCAGGCTGTTGACATCCTTGAGGTGTACATAACTGAAGTCGAGAGACAATTAGATAGAAAGGTTAAAATAGTGAGATCAGACAGGGGTGGTGAGTATTATGGTAAATATGATGAGTCAGGCCAAAATCCTGGCCCATTTGCCAAATTCTTAGAAAAGAAAGGCATTCGTGCTCAATATACAATGCCTGGTATGCCACAGCAAAATGGAGTTATTGAAAGGCGCAATCGTACACTTAAAGATATGGTTAAGAGTATGTTAAGTTACTCAATTGTACCTATTTCACTGTGGGGTGAAACTTTAAAGATTGCAATGTATATCTTAAATAGGGTTCCTAGTAAGATGGTCCCAATAACTCTTTTTGAGTTGTGGATTGGTAGGAAACCTAATTTGAGACACTTACATATTTGGGGTTGTCCAGCAGAGGCAAGAATCTTCAATCCACAAGAGAAAAAGTTGGACTCAAGAACAATATCTGGATATTTTATTGGTTATCCAGACAAGTCTAAAGGGTACAAATTTTATTGTCCTAATCACAGTACGAGGATAATGGAGACTGGTAATGCTAGATTCCTAGAGAATGGTGAAATTAATGGGAGTGAGAAAACACGAGTGGTGAGTTTCAAGGAAATTAGGGTGGATGTGCTAACATTTGACCCTCATCGAAAAATTGTTGTTCCTCAGACTATTCCACAGGCTGAGGGAAACGAACAACATAATGAAAATCCGTCACCACCTCATGTTTCACCACTTCATGAAGATACCACCATTGAAAATATTGTAGAACCACCACAACCGGCAGTTCTGAGAAGATCTTAGGGGGAAAGAAAGCCTGCCATTCCAGATGATTACATGGTGTATCTACAGGAATCTGATTTTGATATTGGGATTAACAAAGATCCAGTCTCGTTGTCACAAGCCATGAATAGTGATGATTCTTCTAAATGGGTCAATGCTATAAATGAAGAGTTAAAATCCATGGAATAGAATAGTGTTTAAATTGCCTAAGAACTGCAAAAAGGACGGGTATAGATGGGTCTTTAAGACCAAGCGCGACACGAAAGGCAATATCGAACGATTTAAAACCAGACTTGCTGACATGGGTTTTACTCAAAAAGAAGGCATAGACTATACAGAGACCTTCTCTCCAGAATCTAACAAGGACTCGCTTAGAATCATCCTAGCATTGGTAGCTTATTATGACTTACAGTTGCATCAAATGGATGTGAAAACTGCTTTTCTAAATGGGAATTTGGATGAAGAAATTTATATGGAGCAGCCAGAAGGATTTGCAAAGAAAGGTAAAGAACATTTAGCTTGCAAATTAAAGAAATCCATATATGGCCTTAAATAAGTTTCCAGGCAATGGTATTTAAGGTTTAATGATACCATTACCTCTTTCTAATTTAAGGAAAATGCAGTTGATCAGTGCATATATCTGAAGGTTAGTGGGAGCAAGTTCATTATTTTGGTACTATACGTGGATGACATTTTGTGAGCTAGTAATGACCCTGGCTTATTGCATGAAACCAAGGAATATCTCTCCAAGAACTTTAAAATGGTCGATATGGGTGAGGCAAACTATGTTATGGCATAGAGATCTTTAGGGATCGATCTCGAGGATTGCTAAGACTACCTCAGAAAGGATATATTGATCGTGTTTTGGAGAGATTCAATATGCAATTTTGTTCAGCCGGTGATGCACCCATCATGAAGGGTGATAAATTAAGTGAAAAACAGTGTTCAGGAATGACTTGGAAAGAAAACAAATGAAGGACATTCCATATGCTTTGAGGCTACAAATCATGCTTTATGGTTGCGGAATTTTGTCTCAGGACTTGGTGTTGTTGACTCAATTGCCAGGCCGCTGAAGATATATTGTGACAATACCGCAACAGTTTTCTTCTCTAAGAATGGAAAGTACTCCAGTGATTCCAAACACATGGAAGTAAAGTACTTAGTTGTTAGAGAAAGAGTCCAGAAACAACAAGTGTTAATTGAAAATTTAAGCAACTCTCTTATGATTGTTGATCCATTCACAAAGGGATTGCCACCAAAGACATACAAAGAGCATGTTATCAGGATGGGTCTTTTAAGCAACCCTTGATGTGTATGGTTAATCGTAAGTGCTTATTTTTATTTGACTTTATTTGCACAATAATAATTTTGTTTTTGTTTTTCCTATTCTAAAAGTGTGTGTACACATTAAATTCAATAATGATATACAGGAAATGTCTTAACAAGACAAATTACAGGGGCCTTTCAGGCAA